AATATTTTTAAAGATTTTTAACTAAACAATTTTTTTCTGTTTTTTCTCAAAATTGACAAAACTGCATTTAGCGAGCTCCTCATTTACATATATATTTTAAAATTGAGACTATTTATATGACAATATAGTAACATTCATTAATCAGATCATATTTTATGCCAAAATTCTATATTCACTTATATCATCTTAGTATTAGTAGTAATTATATCACTTAGTAATTATATCATTTCAGTAGCAGGTTTCATCCCAATATAGAAGTTAAGCAGCATTGAGCCCAAGTAGGATGGATGGCCGTTTTAGAAACACGCGGTGATCCAAGATAAAAAAATTCTCTCATTACTTCCTCAAGTCTCATTACTTTCTTTCATCTTTTTTTCATTTTTTTCACTTATATAAATAGAAGACATATATTATGTAATAATGGTTCCTCATAAAATACAATTTATGTCTAAAAAATTGGATAAATATTATAGCTTAATAATGTTATTGGCTCAATATTGTTGCTTTGACATATTGGCTAAATAAGAGCAGGCATCTACCTTGCAATATTGGACCAATGTTGAAAATCAATTCACACCCAATATATAATACTGGATTTACATTACTTCTCAATATTGCGCCAGTATATTGTGTTACTAGGGTTAGTATTCCAGTAAACACAAACTATAAAAGTAATATTTCAAACATTAACGAATAGTCGCTAAAATGTTTTTATGTCAATTATTTGGTAAATGTTTGAAATATTACTTTTATTATATTTATTGGAATACTAATATGAGAATAATAATACAGACATATAGTATAATAATTATAATTAAAATATAATTATTATATTGTATGTAAATGATAATTGTATGAACAATTGTGTTTTTTACGCGCGAGCAATGTATATGCAGAAACTGAGAGATGCGTTCGGTCTTTGATGCTGGTCCTCGGATAATAGGACAACGACAATTCATAATGGTGCGTTCATTTACTCCTAGTTACATCGAAAAAGGATCTCATTTATGCTTCTCATTGTACACTGTGCGAATGATTCGCGTGGTCCCGCCGGAGCTCTAACTTATCGGCTTGACTTACTCAGGAAGAGTTGATAACATCGATAATACTAAACACGCGCACGCTTCTGAAAGATACACTCGGAAGGGACATATGCAGTAATAAAGAATAATAAAAATAATCATTAATTTTTTATTTGTTTAATTTTTTTTTAATTTAGAAATGCATGAATTCTATCTCCATTATATTACAGGTCGTATGCATCTTTATATTTATCTGTATATAATTCTTAATATGTGCGTTTTGAATTATACATTTATTCAAATAGGTATGGCATCTTCGTCTCTTCCATCGTGTCTCGCGCCACCCGCGCCATCCGTCGCTACGCAACGTTAACTACACCGCCAGAAGCAAGTCTTAGTGTCGCGACTCGAGTAATGCTTCCGTTATCTTCCTGACCATCTTAGCGCGGCATAGCGGCCATCTTGTTGCAGAGAGAACGTTCGCTGGCCTTCATGCGTATAAGTTGCAGTTGTCCCGCGAGTGCTGTTTCCCTCGAGTGATCTCACGTCATCTTCACCGCGAATGCTTCCCGTGCAGCTACATACGCTGCACGCGTTCAGCACACGTCGCCATTCCGTGCGCAGATCTCCATCTTGTGCGTGCCGCGCACTCTCTTGCGCCGCACGCGTTCTCGGACATTGCGCTACGTGCGCTTTAGTGCGCGCTCTCTCTCTTGCGTCGCGTGCGCTCTAGTGCGCGCTCTCTCTTGCACCGCGTGCACTCTTGAACTTCGCGTTGCGTCCTCGCTTGTCACGTCGCGTGTGTTTTCGTCTGTCTTGTGGTGCCATGTTCGCGTCGCCCTTGGCACTTGTGCACGCGCGCCGGTCAGAGTAGCCGCTTTTGTTGTAACCTAAGGTTCGGACTCGTCGCCGTTTGCCGATACGCTATCCTTTGATCACGATCTCTCAGTTGGCGGAATAATAATAAAGTCCCCACAGATATAAACGATAACAGACTGTAATAAATAGTTAAATAATGTACAAGGAGATTGAAATTAAGATAATTAGATAATTTATTAAAATTAATAACAAGTTTCTCAAAGATATTCTTTTATCAGAAATAAATTATGTGTATCCGAGTAATCGATCTAGTATTCTTCTTGTGCAATTATTTGCTGTTATCGTCCTTCGATTGCTTAAATTTCCATCTCCTTATATATTATTTAATTATTTATTACAGTCTGTTGTTATTTATATCTATTTGGATAAATATATAATTCAAAACATATATTAGGTGTACAAAAAAGTTCTGAACTTTTTTTTGTAAAATTCAATCTTTATTCAAAAACAAACAAAAAAATATTAATCAGCGAAATATTCCCCGTTTGCATCAATGACCTTTTGCCATCTTTCGGGTAGCTTGCGAATTCTTTGACGATAGAAGTTCACCGGTAAAGCGGTAAAGTCATCAATGCATTTTCGTATCTCTTCAAATCTTACGAAATGTGTATCAGCCAAATGATGCTGCAGCGACCGGAATAGGTAGTAATCGGAAGGCGCCATGTCTGGGCTATACGCCGCGTGCGGGAGAAGTTCCCAGCCTAACGCAAAGATATGGTCCTAAATCGCTTTCGCAACATGTCGAGCATTGTTATGAAGCAAGATCACTTTACGACGTCCTTGGCCAGTAAATGGCCTCTTTTCTTCTAATGCATCGCTCAAATTGGTCAATTGTTGTTGGTAGCGGTCTGCCGTGATTGTTTCACCCGATTGTAACAACTCGTAATACAACACCTTTCCAATCCCACCAGATATAGAGCAAAACTTTCTTGGCGTGGATATTGGGCTTTGGGCATCGATGTTGGGCTCGATGTCGAAGATTGACCAGGATCAACCCATGATTTTCTACGTTTAGGTTATCATAAAGAATCCACTTTTCATCGCCTGTAATGATTTTGTGCAGAAAATCTTTTTTCCGGAACTTTGAAAGCAAAGTGAGTGCAGTGTCACGCCGACGATTTTTGTTGTCTTCGGACAATTCATGCGGAACCCATCTGCCTTCTTTCTGAATCTTTCCCATCGTATGTAAACGTACGGAAATAGTTTGCTGCGTAACGCCAAGCTGTTCTGCAAGCTCCTTTTCAGTTTGCACAGAGTTTGTATCCAGCAGTGCTTGCAATTCGTCCATTTCAATCTTTTGAGGGCGTCCAGCACGCGATTCATCTTCAAGACTGAAATCTCCTTGGCGAAATTTTTGATACTATCTTTTACATGTAGTATGACTTACAGCGTTCTCTCCATATGCAGCACAAATCATTGCAGTGGCTTCAGCAGCATTTTTCTTCAGATGAAACGCGAAGTGGATGGAAAATCGAATATGCTCTTTTGTTACTGCCATCGTGAATACTACTGATTTTTGAAGTTATGTGCATCAAATGCCAAACTGTATGGCATTTTAGAAGGCCAAATGTCAACGCTTTAAAACCGCAAAAAGGCGGGAAGATATATAAAATTTAAATTGTTATTTCGGTTGTATGAAATCTAAAGCTCAGAACTTTTTTGTACACCTAATATATTGCGAATTATATATTTAGACAGATAAATATAAAGATGTGTAACATAACGGAGATATAATGCATTTTTAAATTAAAAAAGAAAGAAAGATGAAACTGAAAGATGAAGATAGAGAATTAATTATTTTTTATTACTGCATTATTACTACATGTATTCCTTCCGATGTACATCTTTACGAAGCGCACGCGCATTTAGTATTATCATCAATGTTATCGATCCTGCCTGAGTAAAATCAGGCCGATAAGTTAGAGCTTCGGCGGGACCACGTAAATCATTGTCGCGCAATATAAATGTATGCATATACAAGTACCTATACTTATTTATTATCAAAATATATAAAAAAGAGAAACATAAATGAACTCTATTATGAAAGAAAAATTCAAGATATATAAGATAAGTAACATTCATTAAACTTGATAAAAAAAAATACTTAATAAGTATTAAAAAGCACAAACATTATGCTTTATACAATACAATGTATTTTTTTGTATATAATACATAATCTTATATTTAAAATATTTCTCATAAAAAAGAAAGATTAAATATAACTATTAAATTAAATTGATTAAATACAAACATTTACTTCCTATTTCTAATTCGCAGAAACAATTTCATCGCGAAAAGCAAGAGCTGTGATGGCCTTTTGATGTCCTTGATATTCTCGTTCAATTGTTCCTGTAGAGGCATTCCATAATCTTGCAATTCCATCTGAAGAAGCTGCATAAAGTATAAAATAAAATTAAATACACGGAGTAAAACCATAAAACTTTATAAGAGTATTTAACACATCATAAATCGAAAAAAATCTATCACAGTTATACAAATACATATTTCTGTTGTACAATACAAAATCTTAAGAGAAATACATAAAAATATAAAATGTTTACCAGTAAATATATATTGCGAATCTGCACTGAATGCCACATCCCAAACCCAACGTTTTGCCTCGTGCTGAAACACTTGAACTTCGGAAAAATCTGTTGTTCTCCATACTCGAGCAGTCTGATCAGCTGAGGTCGTCACCAACAACCTTACAACATATAATATATAATGCGCATGTACGTATGTACACACATATACTGAGCGAGCGTGACATAGTAGACAACGCACTAAGCTATTATGAGGTCTCGGGTTTGATTTCCAGAGCCAAAAATATTTACGCTCATGTCCTTTTGGAAGGCAATGGTAAACCACCGAGAGTAACTTTGCTATGAACATCTCTCTATCAAAAATTTGCCGTTCGAAACTGGCGTTAAACTATAGGTCCCACCTGTGTATAATTATCATGCACACCATAGGTATATGAAAGAGATTATCACACGAACACGAATAATAGAACTGGGAAGAGATACGTATGTACATGTACAGAATGGCTCAAATAAAGGGTTACAACAATAATTGCACGCACGCACGCACACAACTGGACTTTTTTAATCATATAGGCAAAGTTTTATAGTTTAATGTGATAGAAATTACCAAATAAAGTACAAGGTGTACGACAAATTTTTTTTATTATAAATGAACTTTTTAAATATGTTGCAAACCAATTTTGTGAATCTTTACAAACAGAGAATGGATAAATTCGAAATTTTAAATATTACTGTGTGAAAAAAGTTAAAATAATTGAATTTAGAAAATATAAATTGCTTGTACATTTATCGTGCATATTTATATTATCAAATATACGATGAAATTTTGTATTCAGATTAAACAAATATTAGAATGTAATGAATATTTTTTTGAACATTTAATAAATATTATATTAGGTGTACAAAAAAGTTTCTGAGCTTCATACAACCGAAATAACAATTTAAATTTTATTAAAAAGCTCAGAACTTTTTTGTACACCTAATATTTAATAACAATAATTTTAGAAAAAAATATTTAATGTCTGGATTTATAAGACTGAAAAGACTTATCTGATATTTATTAATCATATAATAATTTATAACTTTTAATAGTACGATTAAAAAAAATATTTTTAATAAAAGTTGCTTGATTTTTAATGGAGACTTCGACTATTATTGTTTTCATAAGATATCATTTGAAATTTCTAATTAATCCTGCTGTCTCTTCAGAAGATTTCAAAATTAAGGAATATGTCATAATAACATTTTCAAGAGAGGGGTCCGATAGTATACAACGCTGATTGACCAATTAAATATAAAATTTTTTGATTGGTGGTCCATTGGAAAATTCCTAAGCAGCAGCTGATGTATGCTATCGCACTGTGCGCTCACTCCATTTTCAAAAACCGATTTTTTTACATTTTTCGAAAGATTAATATTTTAGAAGTATATTCTCGAAAGATTTTAATAAAATTCAAAGTAATTTTCAAATTATATGATCTATAGTTGAAGCATACGCATATGGCCAATTCGTAAAACGATCTCTAGCCTAACTTAAATTCTATCCAGTTTCACGGAGTTATGTTATAAAAGTTCCCTCGATTATGACTGTTGTGTTCGTTTCATCAGCAATAAATCACTATGATAGTTAGTAAAACTGCGTTCCATATTCACTGCCAGTACTAAAAGTCTAATATACGTGACATGAACTATATATTTTTAGTACTGGCAGTAAATATCGGAACGTAGTCTAAATTCGACTGATAAATAATCGATATTCGGGAATTCGAACCATGCTTCATGCAATCTCTCCTGTTGTGCTCCAGGAAAAATTGTAATATACAATACACGAAAATTCTATAAGAACGCAATTATTTTTAAAACTATAAAAAATTTTAATAATATAAAGGAAGGAATACTAGGAAATAATTAAGAAATAATAAAAAAAGAAAATTAATATACAAAACTGTGTGAAAAAAAGTCGTTTATTTTTGTCATAAATAAAATATTATAATTTAACGCACAAAAGTGTAGCGAAATTTGTATAAGAAGTCTTTTAAATTTGTCTCAAACAACTAAATTTTTATATTAGTAGCTGATACTACCGTCTTTGTTTTTAATTACTTCAAATATTCTGTTTTTCATACTATTAACTTGTTTCTGCAACATGATTTTGTCGATTTTATTCCATTCATATCTTTTTGCATTCTCTAGTTCTTTATATTATATTATTATTGTATTGCTTGCCATAAACTGATAAGATTCTCCACAAGTTCTCTATTGGGTTTAGATCAGGAGAACGTGAAGACCACTTTATAAGTAGCAAATTTTTTTGTCTCTTGAATCTTTTTAGTATCATGTACCACAGCGGTATCTTGTTAAAAAATAACGTTATCTCCATGATTTTCTTTAAGAAACCAAATTAGAATATCTTTTAAAAGATCAATGTACTTGTTTGCATTCATTCTCGTTGAAATTTTACAAATTGGCATTGTAGAATTATAGCTAAATGCAACCCAAATCATTAAAACTCCACCACCAAAATTTCTACTCATGTTTATGGCTTTATCTTTTCGTAAATCATGTCAATAGTATTTAAATCCGTCTGGACCGTCTAGATTAAACTTTTTTTTCATTGAAGAATACAACATTTCCAATTTTTCCATTCTTCATCCTAGATCATATAATTTTTCGCAAATTCTAATCTTGTATTTTTGTGTTCTTGTGTAAAAAATGGCTTCATCACTTTTTTGACCCATTTTAATCGTATGTTTTTACATAATATTTGCTGTACACGTCGTGTAGTTACCAGAGCTGTAGATCTTTCTTTACTTGAGCAGCAGTTCTATTATTATTTCACTATTTCTTTAAAAATACGAGAATGGTCACGTCTCGTTAATTTCATATTGCCACTCGTATAATGGTTTTTGCCATATTTTTCGCGTAATTTTAAATAATATACACAAGTACTAGATTTATTAATTTTATTTGCTATTTCTCAAATAGATAATTCTGCATCGTGATATGCATCTATTTTTATTTTCTCTTCCGAAGTCAAAATTTTTCCTCGCGGCATTTTAATATAACAAGAGTTATTCAATATTATTATATGAATATTGTATTTTAGCATCAATACTCATTCTAACTGAGATAGATACTTTCCGTTCATACGATGAAGCAGAACTGCGAAAAGTTTACTGTTATTATATAAATTTCGTCCTTGCCTCGATCAACATACATTAATGTATTACTATTTCTGTTTATGAACACGTAATATTGTTTACGTTTATTGTGTAGTAATAATGATACAGTGATTATCGAAAGATTTTCTCACATCAACATATATTTATAAAATAAAGGAACTTTTGGTAGTCATAGTGTTCTTATAAAAATTTCGTGTATTGTATTTGTTAGCGGCGTTGGAGCATATCATTCGACCTGCATCCATCGAGAGAATAAGATCATCTTCTCTCCAATCGTGAGGATTCGAGAATATATATACATGTACGCATATTGTAACGTATATGTGTATATATGACACTGTATTGTTTAACGTGTTGCTCGAAATGTTTATTGCGATAAGTATCATCACATGCCTCAATAGTCGAAATGATAAGATACCTGCCCAGTAAGCAGAGGATCCAAATTCGATTCCTGGCTGAAGTGATCTTTTTCGCAAAAATAAGAGTTACGAATTTTCACGACTGATTCGGGCTACGTGACGTACACTCTCTTCTTACTTGGAAAATTTTAAATACGTTTTAAAATCGCTTTTTTTCAACTAGGCATCTATAACTAGAATAATCTATAAAAAAGATTAGTTGGGAGCGTTCCGTTTGACCATGTTGCGATTGACCACAGCCACTCAGTGCCTAGAAGTTTTCCTTTGTTCAAATGTTGGTGATCAATTGCAATGTGGTCAAACGGGCCCCGATTAGTTTCAAATTTCAAATTTCATAAAATGAGTAATTTCAATTATATATATGGATATTTTTTTTAATTTGTCGCGAGCGCCAAGAACACAATCGCGCCCACCGCTGACGAAGCGGATTGCGGCAAGCGTGCGAT